AAAAAAAAAAAAAAAAGTAACGAAATGATTAACTTGATATGTAATCTTTAAAAATTTAATAACAAAAAGAAAATATTCTCAGTTTAAATTACTCATGAGATTATGAAATAACAAATGTTAGCACGTAAACCAAGAAATTCTGAATGTATATATATATATATAGAGGGAGTGGGTATGGGATCAATGCTATGGTTCCTTTACAGAATCATTCCGTCAAAGTTTGTAACCGTTAGATCAACTATTCTGACCCTTACATAACGATCTAACGATTACAAACTTCAATGAAATTATTCCGTAACAAGACTGTAACATCTCCTTCGAATATGTATGTGATTTATAACTTGAGAAATCATGATCACATGTCCCCACGATGCATTATTCTACTTCTTATCAAGACCATATATAATATGACCCAGTACAGGTCAGGTACTAATTGATTATGATAATCAATTAATTTCTCTTTTATCTATTTTTTGATTGACAACTAGGAAAATATAATACTACAATTTTAAGGAGAAGCATAATTTCAAAATTAGTCCTATAATTTGGACACTCTCCAAAAAAAACCACTTCCATATTGACCACTTTCAAACTGGTCCAATAATTTGACATTTTATTCAAATTTGATCATTTTTATCCGTAACATAGATTAAAGTGTGATTAAAAATGACCAAATTTGATTAAAATGTCAAATTATAGGATCAAATTTGAAAGTAATCAAAATCGGGATGATTTTTTTAAAAAATTGTCAAATTATAGAACCAATTTTAAAATTATGTCGAGTATAAGAGAGTTACGTGGAAAAGGCTGCATCGGAGGTGGGCCCGGCAGAAGGTGGGGTCGCGGAGCATAGGATGACGTGGCGGGCTCAGGATAATAAAGATAAGATGGTCCACGTTGCGCCGGGGGTATAATGGGAAATGTACCTCTATTGTTGGGCCCGTGAATGGAGTACCCGTAATAATATGGAGCACCCACATTTGGTGAAGTCGGAGCCCCGTAAACCTGCTGGTTGTAATATTGTGTCTGCTGAGGGCTGTATATTGTCTGCCATATATTATACACACAACAGTTAACTTTTTATTTTAATAATATATATCTCCTATTAATTCAGAATGTACCGAGTCTAAATGACAGACTTGCATCTATCTATTAATTTAAAACGTGCTGAGACTTAGTGGCAGACTCGCATGCTGCAAGATCTTATGTGGCAAGATTACATACTTCGTTATTAGGCTTGTGTAAATTTTAATTTACTTTCAATCTAAAAATAATTAGGTCTGAATTATCCAAAAATATATTAATTATTTATGGTCATGTTACATGTATTAATTATATTTTAAATATAATTTCTTATAATAACCATTGAATTGTAAATGTATTTTAAAAATTAATAACTTTTGTATTTCTTATTAGTTTTACATATATAATATATCAAATCAATCATCTTTTGATGAGTTTCGATTTAACATCCATATTGCATGTATAGAAAAAATAAATTATATTTTATTTTTATAAAAATTATTATAATACAATACATGTAAATAACACAAGTGACAAGTGTCATTCTAAAATATATAATAATATATAAGTTTTGTAAGAAAAGTAAAAAAAAAATTAAAATGATTTTCTCATTAATTTTTAAAATTTGTGAATAATTTTTCAGCAAACACCTGTGTAATACACAAGTGTCGTACTAGTATATATATATTTGTCATTATTATTAGTTTCTTTAATAAGTTATGTAAATATTTAAATTTTGCATTGCAAGCATCCACTAAACTAGGTAGATAGATACCACGATAATTATATGACAACTCAAAATACAATATAGTGAGGTGGATTATAATGTACTATTAATTTCTCAAGATATTATTATATCCAACATATATATATAACTATATATTACAAAAAAAATGTGAAAATAATGATTCCAATAATTGAATAAGAGAATAGTCACAACTGTCTTTGACAAGATGGAATGTAAGTTATTAACAGTAGACGCACTTTTCTTTAGATTAATATCCTCTCTTTTTTTGGAAAAATTATTATTATTATTATTATTATTATTATTATTATTATTATTATTATTATTAAAAAAAGAGTAAAACTAACCTGTTGGTAACCATAATAACCCGGTGGGAGAGCAGTATACCTGAAAAATAGAATAATACAAATTATCTACGAATATCATTACTTGAATGGGTATATATGATAAAACTAATTAACGTAACAATGAACATTTTAATGCTTAATCAAATTAAATTAATCAGTATATATTATGCAACAATTGGATGATATTTATTTATAGACACGTTTCTAAATTATGTTGTGTAAGCATCACTCCAAAAAAACTAAAATAAATAAAAGTACGACACTACTAGTCTACTAATACAATAAAACAAGAATAATTTATGCACAAATTCTCGTATGAGCCGATCTAATCGTTAGACGAGCAGACTGATATATAATTTATTAAAAATGTTTCCATACCCGCGGTGGACACATGTTAATATGTCCACCGCGTAAGTGTCATCCACTCATTGGTGATGTTAATATATTTAAAAAAATACATCATTAATGAGTGCATGCCACCTACGCGGTGGACATATTAACATGTGTCCACCGTAAGTAGGTGAACATTTCTCTATAATTTATATGACAAATATACATATCCTATGTAATTAATTATAATAATCCCAAATATGTGATCAAAATTAGTAAGTAAGTAGTAACAATTATTATGATTCATTAAGAAGAAAATTCCCAACTCATTATTACATTACCATTCCGTCAGGGTTGTAACCGTTAGATCATCTATTTCAGACGGTTATATGATGATTTAATGGTTACAAACCCCGAGGAAATAATTTCGTAACATGACCGTAACATCTCCCAAAATGTTACCTGAGTTTTGTCATTTAATGTATAAAATATAACCATTTCAACCTCTTTAATTTCTCCTTTGGTTAAACTTTTTTGTTCATTTTCTCAGTTAGTTCAATTTCCATTGTTGGTCAATAAAGCAGTAAACCATTGCTGCAGCTCGCTGACAATTATCAATCATTTATATCCTCAATTTAAATTATTTATACGTCATCTGCCCCCAATAACTATACTGCATTAAATAGAATTCAAAATGACCACCTATTTCACTTTTATTATCTCTCATTTCATCTCATTTCCCTGTCTTAATTTCACAAATTAAAAATAAAAAAATAAAAAAAATTGGGACAACATAAATATAATATACACACACAATAGTACTAATACTCGGCTGGCATATATATATATTTTTATTTATTTATTTTTATTGCATAATGGCAGGCTGGTGGCCCATATAAATTGGACAGATAGGCATTAAAAATGGCAAGTAAATTAAAAACATACCCATATGGTGGATATATCACGGGCGCAAGAGGCGGTGGCGGCGGGCGGTACAACGGTGGCGCTGCAGGCGCAGCCTGTGCCGGCGATCCACTACCTTGGTACAAGTTCTCCACTTGACTTGGACCTACCGTCCCCAATTAAATTAAATTAAATAATAATTTAACTCTATCGGATTTGTAACCGTTAGATCAACTATCCTCGACGGTTACATGACGATCTAGCGGTTACAAATCCCGACGGAATAGTTCTGTAACGGGACTGTATCGAAATTCGAATTTTGAATTTCAAAAAAAACAAAGGAACAGTAGCGGCGCACCTATTGGGAGAGAAGGTCTGGGTCTGGGTCGTCCAAAAGAGGCAATGTTACAATTGGCTCGTCTGCCAGCAATGACAGGGTTGGGATCAGCGCAGGCTCTTATAGCAGATTCTGGATCTCTATATGTCACCTGTTTGCTCATTATTTGTTAAGAAAACAAAAACAAGATAGAGAGAAAATATATATAAAATGTAGAGATGAAAAATGTGTTGTATATATATACATACAAATCCATAGCCCTTGGATTTTCCGGTGTGCTTGTCGTTGATGATGACGGCCTCGAGAATGTCTCCAAACTGGTCGAAATAGGAGCGCATGAGGTGGGTTGGAGTTTCCCAGGCGAGGCCGCCCACGAATACCTTTGTCAACCTCGTGTCTCCCCACTGCTCGTGCGGATGCTGATGGGCCATTGATCGTTGGCGATTGATCGATCGATATATGATATCCCTCCTACATTACATTAAATGACACGCCGCCGGCCGGTGGTGGTCGTGATGGCTGAAGAGAGAGATTAATCCGAGAGAGAGAGAGAGAGAGAGTTGGAAGTTTGAAGTTTGAAGGGTATGATGAAAGAGGTAAGGATTTTTGGGGGTTTGTGTGCGCCAAATGAATGACAGCTGCTTGACTATAGAAAGAGCACTACACACTCTCCACCCTGTCTTCTCCCTCTTCTCTCTCCCCACTCTCAAACTCTCTCCCTCTATATATATATATTTTTTTTTTATTTTTCTTAAAAAAATATGATGGAAGAAAATCACACTCAATTTATATAGTGAGATGCTACTGTCCCGTTACGGTACCGTTAGATCCACATGTAGTTAGATAAAATAAATGATCCAACGGTTAAAATACACGACGGGATGGTACCGTAATGAGACCATAACATTTTCCATTTATATATACAGATAAAATGAATCATATGAGAAAGAGAGGTAGTGGAAAAAAAAAATAAGAACAATTCTAAATCATTGGATCATCAAGTCAATGATGAATATGATGAAGTCAAATTTTATTAATTCTAATCAAACATGTTGTGACAATCTTGTAATAAATTTGTCATATTATGGTCAAATATATGCATTAGACACTCATTCGGATATTTTGGTTAGTGAACCACACCACAATTAATAACTCTAATTTTACTCTCACACACTCACACCCAAACATACACTGAACACGCACGCACACACCTTGCACTCACACACACACACATAGAGAGAGAGAGTTTCGGTCGGTCGCCACCAGCCAGCCGTTCTGCACCCGCCTTTCGACTATAGCAGCCTCGCCGCGCAGCCGTCGTCGCCAGTTAGCTACAGCAAACAGTCGGGCGCAGAAAACGAGACACACCAGCAATGTTGCAGATATCGGCGACGAGAGACACCACTCGTCGGCCGTGTCGGCTCTCGACTGTCGCCTCCACAACCCCGCCACTTCCGTCGCCGGCTAGAAGGCAATAGAGGATCTGAATTTTGAATTTGAGATTTGGGGCCTCATTATGTGAATTTGATATCTTTAAGGGACTTAATAGCAATATTTGAAAGTTTAAAATATTACAATTTAGTTCATGGGTTGAATATGTAATTTATAAATATTAATAATTGCACAATATTGTAAAATGCATTGCACATTATTGTCAGTGCATTGTAATTTATTAGTAATTTAATATACATATGTATAGCTCGGTCGTTGGTTATACCAATTATTTTAAAAGTTAAGGTCGAAATCAAACTGAAATAGACGAACTTTCAACAACAAAAGTCATTAATCGAGTTGACACGTGAATTTTCGGACCAATTTTTTGTTTCTTCGATTAGGATGCATTTTTTATTTTTATTTTTATTTTTTTGTTGAACTTTGCATATCCGCACTATAGAATGCACCATATAAACAAATAAAATTCACAATAATACATATAAAAATGCACCATATAGTCGAATTAATTAATTGGTTTATTCGTTCGATTAATCAAATTAACCAAAACAACCAAATTAAATTATTATTATGTTATAAAATCATATTTAATATTTTAATATTTTTATTTGTTCTTTTGGTTGAAAAATTATATCTTATATATATAAAAAAAATTATTTATTATAGAGTTTGGTTGGTCCAGTTATTTCTGTTATTTTAAAATAAAGCTAACATTGAACCGAAATAACTAAATTTTTAAATTTAAAAATAGATATTGAACTGACATGTAAAAATCAAACCCAACAACTTAGTTCGATAGGGTTTTGGTTGCTAAAGTAAAATCTGACAGTCACTAATGTACAAACCTTACAACACCTACTATGCACTCGATCTCGAAGTGCAACTATGCTTTTATAAAAATGTATTTAGTATTTATAATTTTTTATTTAATACTTTATTTTTTTCCGATTGAACATAAATAATATATATAAATAAAAAAGAAAATTAATATTTTTGTATAGTTCGATCGGCTCAACTCTTAGATCTCTTGATTGGACTTTAGAAGAAGCTATCAAGCAAGATAAGAAGCTCAACTTTATTATTATTTTTCCTTTTCTTTTTTTTTTTTTTTTGTAAATAAACTGAAAATCGGACCCAAGACTTTAATATTTGTAAAAAATTCACGTTGTTATGTTAATGTGCATTTGGTCTAACACTATTGTGCAGTATGACAATTATTAATTCGCATTATGTTTTATACCATATATTGTGTATAGGGCTGAGCATGGGACTCAGAGAATTGCGAACCGTTCCGAAAACCGAACTGAAATCACTCCGAACAAAAAAATAACCGTTGACCGTTTGACTTTCTCCGAACTGAACCGAACCGAACCGAACCGAACCGAACCGAACCGAAAAAATAATTTGTACGGTTCTGGACATTTTACAAATATTCGTACCGAGAACCGAACTGAACCGTCTCATACCGTGCCGAACCGAAGAACCGAAATACCCAAACTAAGAACGAATTATAACATTAGATGTGTTATTAATATATTTTATGTCACCTTTGATCCTTTATAATATAGTAATAATAACTATTAACCTTCACTTAACTTTAATACTTGGTAATACTTGATCTACAATTGATTTTTTTTCTATTATAAATAATTATTTAAAATATTATGAAAGGTTAAATAATATTTTTTTATAAAAAAAATATTATATTTTGTTTGAATTTTAAATTTTCAATATTAGTTGCAAAAATTTAGAGTTACTTCTAAAGTTGATTTCAAAATAAAATTTTTAATGAGGAAGTATTGATGAATGCTAGTTTTATTAAAGCATATAAAAACCGAATAACTAATATTTAAAGTTACTTCTAAAATTGATTTCAAAATAAAATCTTCAATATGATGAATTATTAATGAATATTGATTTTTTAAAGCATATAAAAATTAATATATAACTAGTAGTCATTAAAAAAAATCTAAAAAAATAAGGAATCTCCGAAGATCCGAACCATCCATACCGAACCGTACCGTCCCAATAGTCCCGAATACCGAAACGAACTGAACCGAAAAATAAAAATCTCCGAACCGAACCGAATCGAATTTTTGGGACGGTTCGGGATATCGAATTTTGGGATCTCCGAACTTTGGTACAGCTTCGAAGATTTATCAATCTACGAACCGTACCGACCCACGCGCTCACCCCTAATTTTGTATTTTGCAGTTGTTCGCCTATATTTTTAAAGCTCGACCGCAATTGTACGGCTTCGCTCGTAGTATGTGGCAAGCAAGGTCGGATCCCAAGAGACCAAATAATTAACATATCAAGTACTAGAATATGATAATATCAACTTTATTTAGATGATCGAAAATGAGATGGATTAACTAACTAAGAGATTATAATCAAAAAAATAAAGCAAAAACAAAGAACTAGCAAAAATACGTGAGAAAATATATGAGAACGATAGATTCTAAGACGTTGGGTTCAATTAACAGTTAGGATTCTTCAGAAATATCACACTAAATGTTTTCTTTACCTACCCTATAAGATGATCACAAAATTAGCATATCGTCCCTCTCTAAATCGATAAAAACGTAGATTAAATCACATATATTAGTGTCTCCACACAACACATGCTATTTAACTCCCAATAGAACAAAAGATCTAATATCCTCATAACGACCTACTAATCTCTCGATTCAAACAAGTAAATTGTGTCAAATATTAAAGACTTAATATTGAACTCATCTTTCGAATTATGAACAATATTGTCAAACATGCAAAAGCATTGGCCAAGTGCTAAACATGAAATAAGAACAAAATATTTGAATATTGTTCAAAAGAAAACAATCAACTATGATAAATCATCCAAAAATCCCAAACCATGTCTTAGAATCAAAGAAATTTAGCTACTCATGTTTTCAAATATATAGACATATTAGAAATCATCATGAGAAAAAAATAAGTTCAAAGAGAGAAAGAAAAACTAGAAATCTTGTCGTTGATCTTCTCTTCTTCCCGATTGCTTCTCCTCTGTGTTCCAAGCCCTTCTCCTTGTGTTATCGACGTCCCTCCTTCAGAATAGGGTTAATATGTCTTTTATAATGTCCAAAACACTTTTTCTTGTGTAAAAAGGCAAGGAAATAAAAACTGCCTGCGTGTGCGACACGACCAGACACGCCCGTGTCACGGGTCGTGTCAGGTCTGTAGCTTCGTAATCCTCCCAGTTACGTGACATGGTCTCTGACACGGGCATGATGCCCGTGTCACACCCCAGCATGCACGTTTTTGTCCGTTTTGCTCGTTTCTTCTATTTTTCTCATCCGTGCATCAATCCTTCATCATTTCGGGGGTCCTAGGTACTCCACGTGCGCCTCCAATAGCCACAAGCTTTACAAATATGTGAAAATATCTACAAAACAAGCACGCGTATTACCTTTCCAACAAATAGAGAATTAAAGCACAAATATGCAATTTATACACCACTAATGCAATGACGAAGCTCTAAATACTCTAAAAATATGGTACAAAATCACACATGAACAAACTCTCTAACTTAAACCATTGATAGTCCCGATTAATGCATCAAACTCCTACCAACACACAAGTAAAAACAATCACACTCTCAAAGTTTAATTATACACATTTTCAATAGGCATTGGACAAATAACATAGTTAAGATCCGAAATTCTTAAACATAAAGAATGCATCATCAAAATCATGGTCAGTACTTTCAATCCACAAACCTCACCGGATAAGTTTATACTCTCACTCTCAAAAGTATACAGGGAAATATCGCTCAAGTCAATTCAATGTCAAAGAATTACCATAAGCTTGCAAATCATCTACTATATTCACCACTTATAGTGCATGCATTTCTTGAATCAAAAAGGATTTTTTATTTGGTTGTAATGTAGGCTCTTTGGTTAGGGTAGGAAAAATATGGACAAAGTGACGAACACTTGAGCATCTAGAACTACAAAACATG